GAGTGATTTCCTGCAGCCTTCCTAACACAGGTTGGTGGGTTGCTAAGGAATAACTCTCAAGAGGTTAAGAGCCCCACAGCCACCTTGATCTCAGTGCCAGTGATAATCTGCACTAAATTTCTGCTTCATGTTTTATACCACAGCACTGACCAAAGCTTATGTCTGTCCTTTGGCATTCCTAGGTATGAGCAATTATGGCTGTAGGTGGAGAGCTATACCGATTGCTTTTGCAGTGTAATGTCATTAATTTATCACTACCAAGCACTGAAAAAACATCGTTCAATTTCGAAAACAAGCAAACAAACAAACAAATACACACAAAGTGAGATTAATTTAAAAAAAAATACAGCAATTTTTTCTTGCAGATGATCAGTTTTGGGTTCTTCTCATTGTCATTGATTTATAGCCTTTATAATACACATTCAGGACAACTAATTTGCAATTAAGAGGGCTAGGACTACCCTTATAGTACTCCAGACGTCTAAGGGTCTCACATTATATCTTACCTCTATGAGCTGTTAGGCCAGCAGTAGCTGCTAAGGACACTTAACACAGCCATTAACACAGGAGCTATTGCGCTCTGCCGCTGCGCTGCCCGTGCTGCCATAGTTGCACATAGATTTTCAGAAAAGGAAGGAGAGACTCGGATCATGGATCCACCATTTCCAAAATTTCCAAAATTTTAAATCGACCCTCCTTTACATGTTTCCTTATTCCATAAGGGTCAACACCTACAGACAAGGTCCTACAGTGCCACTCTCGTTCTGTAATTTTAATACATAGCATGGCAAGATAAATGCCTTACCTCCCTGAACAAAGCTTGGATTCAGCAGCTTTCTCTGAGGAGACTAAGCAGTGGGCAAGGAAAAAAGAATCGAGCCTTTTGCTCATTTTGTAGTCCATCCAGTTCTTCTGTTCCCCCCTTGAAGGTGAAGTAGCTGTTGCCCTCTCTTTGCCAGTGTTTTCATCTTACAAGTCTTTGTGTGTGCTCTTTCCTGCTTCATGCTAATGGCTTTCCATGCAGAAATGTTTTTCGTCCATGCAGAGAGTTCCTAATGGCCTGGGGGGAAAGCCGATATTCCTTCCCCACCTCCTGTTGGACTCTCCCATACGGTGGGACCACAGGATTTAGCAGGAAGGGTTGCCTTGAATTCTGAGGTAGATTTCACTTACAGTAAATTCAGACTAGCAATGGAAGCAAATTAGCTCCTACTAGCTTGCCAACTGCACTAACAGGTCATGCTTAGAAACTACCATATGTTTGCATCTGGTGTCCCAGTCAGTAGCTTTTGACACAGAATGCAATAGTGTGGCAAAGTGGATGGTGTATACTGCAGCTAAAACTGTGGGTGTGTCTGTGTCAGAGATTGTCTGTCATGCAAAATTCAGAATATCTGCAGTTAACTCTGATTTTGGTAGCAATGGATGGCTGTTTGTGCCATGTAGAAAAGCAAAGCACTGTAAGTTTAAAGAGACAACATCTATAACAGACCCATTTAGCTGGTTTCAGTTGTAAAAACATGTAATGACAACTGCTGATGTTTCTCAGGGTGAAGATTAAAAACATAGGGACAATGCCCCTCTTCTGCCTTTCTGGCAGTCTGAAAGATTTTACTGTATAATGAATGTTGATGCCCAATATATTTCTGGGTAACCACAGTGACCAATGCTAATATCAAATGTTTCCGAAGCAACAAAATATTTTTGAAAGGTAATATGTGTAACCTATAAAAACTTACAAGAATTTATAAATTGCATGTGATAATCAGACTTCAAAAAGTACTTCTACCTTTTTTCTGCTCTGATGCCACTGATAAATATTTGGATCATGCAGAGAATGGTGGGTTGAAACTGCAATTTGCAAAGCTGAAGGAACGTAAAGAATTGAATTCAATTTCAAGGCAGAAGTTATCTGAACAGGGTACAGAGTAAAAGAATAAAATTCTTAGGGGCTGACTGATCTGCAAAATTACTTCTCTCAAAAGAGGTATAATCCCAGATTTTACACTGAATTTAAAAAAAATGCTAAGAGATATTTTTCAACAGTTTAGAAACATTTCACATAAGGAATTCTGTGGGACAGCCTCTTCTCATCAGTACAGCAAAAGAGTGGAAGTACAATAGAGAAAGAGAGAAACTGTTGGTTACCACACAAGAAACCCCTTCCTGCATTCTCGCTACTCAAAATACCAACCGACCTCTACCCTCTAAAACCTCATCTGACTGTCCCTACCCTCTTCTCTATCCTCACCTGAGCAACCCTTTGAGCCTTTCTCTACCACTTCCGCCCTCCTGTGCCCCTTCACTGCCACCATTCTCAGAAATGGCTTTGAGCCATCTCTGTCGTGAAATTTGGTATATGAAAAGTCAGTCTCTCTCACACCCTGCAAAAGTCCTGCGGCCATTATTGTGTCCCATGAGCCAGAGCTGAGTGCCTAAGAAAGATATAGCTGCCCTTCAGCTTTCCTGCAGCTGGTGCAAAGTGAATTGTTCTTCATCAGGTTCTGGTCTCCAACACTGAAAAACTGAATTTATTTGGTCTTTATGCAAATTAAACTAATATCAATTCAGGTGAAAGTTTTCATGCGACAGGCCTTTTAAATTTAAGCTTTTTTCTTCGAGTTATCTGTGCTATTCTACTTAAAAACACAAATTGAATATTAAATGCAGGCTTATTGCAGCTATTAATCATGCAGCTAAGTAAAACCATTAGCAAACTGTGAATAGTTGTAAATAAAATGATAGCTTTGTTACCTCTTAATTCACAGAATTACAGAATCACAAAATGACTGAGGTTGGAAAGGACCTCTGGAGATCATCTAATTCAACCCCCCTGCTGAAGCAGGGTCCTCTAGAACATATTTCCTGGGATCACATCCAGACGGGCTTTGAATATCTCCAGCGAAGGAGACTCCACAGCCTCTCTGGGCAACCTGTTCCAATGCTCTGTCACCCTCACAGTCAAGAAGTTCTTCCTCAGGTTTAGGTTAGGAAAGTCAACTTCCTGTGCTTCAGTTTCTGCCCATTGCCTCGGCCCCACCCTCTTGACCCCCCCCCCCCCTTCAGAGACTTGTACACATTGATCAGATCACCTCTCAAGTGTTCTCTTCTCCAGGCTACACAGGCCCAGCTCCCTCAGCCTTTCTTCAGAGGAGAGATGCTCCAGTCCCCCAATGATCTTTGTAGCCCTCCGCTGGACTCTCTCCAGTAGTGCCATGTCTCTCTTGTAGTGGGGAGCCCAGAACTGGACATGGTGCTCCAGGGGAGGCCTCCCCAGGGCTGAGGAGAGGGGCAGGATCACGGAATCACAGAATTGCAGTCATCTCAAGTGGCCCTGCTTCCACCTCCTGTACACCTCCTGCTTATATTTGAGTTTTGTCAGGAGTTTCTTGTTCATCCATTAATTCTATATAGACTGCCTCTGGAGTGAAAGACAAAATAAGAGATGTTGCATAGTTTAGGGAAAACTTTTGCTACAGTTGAGTTAAGGTGAGATACAGAAATATGATCTCTGTACAAAGTCTAAATAATATTATGTCATGTTATTTTTCTTACCTCTCCCATGCTGAGCTTATCTTATGCTTGGTTCTAATCTCCCAGGGCTGTTTTATTTAATTAATACTTCATATAAAATGCATATAGAGCTCTTTCTTCTCCAACAATTTACCAACTGGACTGCAGTCAGCATTCTCTCTTTCTCGTCTAGTGAGTCTCATGAGATCAGAAAAATAATGCCAAAAAATATCAGTTCAAAATTCTTATCCCATGCTACAAAATGTGTACTAATAAATAAATAAGTAAATAAATAAAATTGCAATGTTCAGGAGCAGAAATTATCCATAAGTGCATTTGCTCTACAGAGATCATCTTTAATATGCAGCTACTGTCATTCATCTCTCTCTGTTTCCTGTGAATGTTTTCTTCTGTGCTTTGTCCTTTCTAAATCTCTTTTCTACCTTTTTACCTTCTTATTTAAATCTTTTATTTCTTTTAGTGATTCTTTCTTTCTTCATGGCTCTTATCCCTTCCTATTTGTAATTATCCACCTGAAGCAAGTGAAAAATATTGTGTTCCTAGTCCTTCATCAGGCAGAGTATAAAACCCTCGTGACTTTTCAGTACAAACCATTTATTAGTTCTTGGGTTCTATTTTGGGGGGATGAGTGAGATGATAGATTTCATTGCTGTTTTGACATCCTAAAGGCAGAAAGTGGCTATTGGGATGCAAACCTAAGGACAAAGAAGGTTTGGCTTTACAATCAACAACTCAAAAATATTTTTCCTCTGGACACTTGCTATTTCCTACCTATATTTATTTCTCTTGGTGGTCTCTCTCTTTTCTCAGATTGGCATGTATACTTCCCTATGAACCCAAGAGGAAAGTCACTGAACAGCTCTCTGTAACATTATTGTCTGCATTATGCATTTTCCTAACTTTTTTCTCTTTCTTTTTATGTCTGTATAAATATTCCAGATGAAAGAAGATTTGGTGAAATCAAGGATCAACAGGCCAACCCTTTTCATATTTCTCATGAATCAAATCCATTTTCTAGTTCTTGTCCTCACCCACTCACTCATTTGCCAATCTCTAACACATTTACCAGTCTTTCTAGTCCGCTGATTATGCTACGTTACTGCAGAAAAGAGGAGGGTTTCAATATTAGAGTGTGTACTTCATTTGATCACTCAGAGAATCATACTACAATTACAGAGCTGTGTTAATTTCCTTCTAAATGTGCTGTCAACACTTTTCACTATTCTGCTTGCCCCAGACTTCACTTTTCCAAATATACTACAGAATGATAGTGGGCAATGGCATGGACAAACTATACCAAATATTTATATATTTATATATAAAATATATATTTGAGGAGAGGGAGTGGAAAAGTTTTGAAAAATGCATTGGAATGTGAGAGTAAATCAATATGACCACAAATGTATTAATGAATGTATAATTTTCTGTAAGCCAGTTCATTCTTGTTTTTCTGTGTTTTTCCACAGCGGCTATGTCTTTGATTACGATTACTACAGGGATGACTTCTACAATCGGTATGTGTGGTTATATTTTTGTACATCCTATACCATTTTTACTGGTTGTTTATAATGAGATCACATTGTTTGGTTAGATAGGTCTGTTTTGATTTTCCATATTATTGATTGCATTATTTTTATTGTGTATCAGAAGACTATTTGAACAGATCACAGACAAGATTACAACTATCCAATATCTGCTCATTAAACAGCTCTTTTGCTATTAACCTCCTCTGTGAGCTTTTAGGGCTTTTTCTGTGCTGAAAAATTTAATGGTAGTTTAATTGCCCAGTGTCCCTTCCTACAGAGTTCTTCGAGGCATACTTTCACTAGAACATGTAGCAGCTGTAAAATTCTTCAAATGACAGTCACATCTTTGTCATTTCATCCATGTATATGAAAATATGCGGAATGTCTCCTGAAAACATGGTATTTTGAGCATTTTCCAAGAATGCTTAGAAATCTAGAAGGTCTTTGAGGCAAGTCAGACCATAGGTTGAAAAGCAAGTGGAGGTCTATGGTAGGAAATAGAGTGTGAATATTTCAACAATGGAAAACTTATGCCTTGAGGACATATAGCCTAGCTCAGCACGGCAGGAATTTAACAGCGTCCATGCATGTGAAGTAGAATCACTATAACATAGGGTTAACATGCATAACCATGGATAATTAGCTCATCATCAGCACATAAAACACATCAGCAGTGTTTTACCTCTGCATTATAATAGCCTGGTTTAGCAAATAGGAGGGGAACATGCCATTGCTCTCCTATCTCTTCTAATCTGAGATTTATGTAAAACAAAGGAAAGCAGAGGAGTGGTTTACACCCTGACATTAAGTTATCTGGTATCCTGTGCTTTTCTGCTTAGGAACATTTTAGGAATAATGTAGGAACAATGGTATTGATTCTGGGAGGGGACGTTGAGGGATGGAAGGGGTGGAACAAGGTGGAACAATTCCTGTGGTTGATTCAATTTGCGCCACTTGTTTTGTTTTTTCATGCAAATGACCACACTTACCTTGAACATGGCTAAAAATAGCGAGCTACAAACATCTGGAGTAAAAGCTATCAGTTCAGTTTAATCATGCTGTGTGCAGCTTTGACAGTAGGAGCAGCTACTGTGCTGGTAAATTTACACTGTGTTCACTTTCCCCAAGGTTACTGCTCTGAATTTCATCAGTGACTTTGCTATGTACTTCACAAAGTAACCTTCTTGATCTATACCACCTGAACTTGCAAGTTATGAGTCTTGTTGCTGCAGTTTTTTCCCTAATTCAATATTTTATGGTTAATACAAATAAGCATTCATAACAGTTACGCTTCCACAACATAAGAAATTCTTATGGGGTGTTTGAAGGTTTCTTCTGTGGAAGCTAGTATCTAGCTGGATGGTTCTTTTACTGTGGAAAATCACTAACAGTGAAATGTGTCTGTAAATCCATTCACTAAAATTATCTAATTTAGAAACATTTCAGGATTAAAACAGCAGCAGTTTCATATTTAAAAAAAAAAAAATATGAGACTGACCTCATACAGCTGGACATGGTGACATATTGCCATAACAAGCATATGAGGCTAAGGGTCTCTGTTAGGTACAAGGTAATAGAAGTGGAAAATGAAAAGTTTTATATGGCAGATATGGAAAGGTAAATCTCAGAGAGAGACGGCTGTACAAACAACATGCTTTTAGGAAATAGAAATGCAGAAATGGATTCATGACTCTCTGAATTTCTGAAATAGATATATCTTATGCCTAACTTTATAATCTCAGAGGCATTTTTTGTTTTATTTTTTTTCCTCCTAATATTCATTAGTGTTTCAAGGTCCCTCAATTATTCAGGGAGAACACATTTATCTCACAGAATCACAGAATCACAGAATGGTTTAGGTTGGAAGGGACCTCTGGAGATCATCTAGTCCTACCCCCCTGCTCAAGCAGGGTCACCTAGAGCACATTGCCCAGGATCACATCCAGACGGGTTTTGAATATCTCCAGTGAAGGAGACTCCACTACCTCTCTGGGCAA